AGCGAGAGTCGTGGCCAGATTCGAGGCATCGGCGATAGCGGATGTCGTTGGTGCAGTCTCTAACCCGGTGGCGATGGTCGAGGCAGCGGAAGCAGAGCCCCGCGACCTCCTCCGGCGACGGGCTGCGCCGTCGCAGCGGCGGAGGGCTTGGCCCGGCCGAGGAGCGCGGGCGGTTGCCGCGGTGCCTGCGCCGTGGCTGCTTGAACCCGTCGGCATCAACCTGAACCCCGCCGGAGATGCGATGCACCTCGGAGCGGGGGCCGAGGCGGGTTGCGGCAGGCTGTCGAGGGGGCACCGGGGCGGGCAGCGCCGTAGGCGCTGGTGCAGAAGCTGGCGGGGTCCGGGCGACGTCGCTATAGGAACGCGGCGAGGACTCGCTCTCCGACTCGAACCCGCTGCCCCCAGAGGACACGCGGTCGCAGTCGGAGAGGGTCGCTCGGCGCCCAGCAGGGTCAGCGCCGGAGGAAGCCATGGCGGGTGCCGCGGGGAGGGGAGCTGGAAGGGGCTCGCGGTGGGGTGGAGGGCTGCCGGCGGGGAATCGGCGACAGCGGGGCTAGAGGAGGGAAGGAGCTAGGCGGGGGTGGGAGCGGAGCATTCTCACCAGCCGTTCCTGAAGAATGCCACATTAATATATACACCATGTAAGCTAATCTATACACAAATCTCTTAGCATCGTTGTGGTGATTGAGCATTGGTTCTACCCTGGGGCCTCAGGTTCGAGCCCTGTTGAACTCAGACTTGTGTGGCCTTTAAAAAAAAATTAAATGCAATCGAACAAGGAAGTCAGCGCTGTTGCAAAAATACACCTGTAAATAATAGTCAATTTGCAAGTGGTCAAAGGTAGGCTGGCGTGGCAGCTACGTGGTCAGTTTTTTTTCCTCCCGAATCGGTTTTGGCCTTATTTGATCAATTTAGCAAGTTTATGACCTAAATCGGTCAATTCCTGAGTTGTTGGCCTAAGGCGTGCACAGTTTGAGTTAAAGGACTAATGGCGCATTTCATTCCCTCTGATGTTATGTGATCAGGAAAATTAGTTCCGATCTAAGAACTTTTGCAGCCTAAAAAGGTCTTGAAGCACATTATTGTCATCATACGGTTAATGTATTACATTATTGTAGGTTGCATATTATCATATGGTTAAGTCTAAAAAGGTGTATTATAGTCATCTACACTGATCTTTATTGATTAATTTGCATATTCGTCTTCACGTGAAGCTGCATATGCTCAACTCACTTCTATGCTTTGTTACACGTGAAGCTGCATATGCTCAACTCACTTCTATGCTTTGTTACTGTGAAAACTGCAGGCCATCCCAGGGATGCTTCTAGCTCTTGTACTCTCTTTCGATCATCGCAAGAGCAAAGATGTGGCTGTTCCATCAGACTTATCTCCCTCCTCAAAGCGGCGAAAATATGTATGGTTTGCGCTAACAGGTTATGGTGTTGGCTTGGTAACTGCATTGGCAGCTGGGATCTTGTCTCAGTCTCCCCAGCCTGCTCTACTCTACCTGGTATGTTTTGCCTGCTGATAGTCTCAGGTTTTCAGACATTACTTTCATTTTCTTTGCCCTACCGAGCTATGCTTGCCAGACTTGGTTGCGCCTATTCTTAAGCAGCGAAGTACTTGTAGTCAGCTTGAGCAATGCCACAATGGCATGTATGGTATGCATGATCTTCTTTGTGACGGAACTTCTGATTTCAGGTGCCCTCGACACTCGGGCCCATTGTGTACCTGTCATGGTTGAGGAATGATCTGTGGGAGCTGTGGGAAGGATCTGGCACAATTGTGAACGAGAAAGCTCATTTGCTGGAAGTCTGAGATGATCCAACATGGCCATAAAAATCACAACCTCTTGTGATGTAATCTAGCTAAAAAAATCTGCTCCAAGCTTCTCATTCTACAGGAGAATATTTATAAGATAGTTTGGCCTTAGTAATCTAAGCCTTTTACCATGTTCTCACAAGAGGAAACAATATGTAATTTATCTGTAATGGAAATTGTTACTCCGTATTATATTTGGTGAAATTTTCTATTCTCTCTTGCTTGAACGATGAAGCTACTTCTAGTCATGTTTCGTGATTACTCAAAGTGTTTATATTGAGGTATTTGATTTAAATTGGTGTTCGGCGAACTAAAAAAAAGGAAGAGAGCTGAGCAGTCCTTTCTCCTTTCTTCCTGCAATCTGAAAGCAGATTTAATAATTGTAAAAATAAAAAATCCGGTGTACGTATTTTCTTTGACAACATGTTTCTTGTTGAGATAAATTAGCAGCCACTGGTGCAATATTTCCACTTCAGAAGGTAACGTTAATCACAGTATACTTACATTTTTTTTTGAGAAACCAGCATACTTTACATGGGAAACATTGCGGGCTGGTCAACCGGCCACATTCTCCGCCGGTCAAATGCGCCCCGTTGGATTGGATCAAGCCTGATCGATCCCCTCGCAAAGCTTGTCACGGGCGCGCGTCCTCGCATGGACCCACACACCGCCCATCCTCTTCCTCGCTATCCCTTGGTCCTTTTCAATCGCCATTCTCTCAACCCTCATAATTTCAACGTCGTGCACTTCATCGGGTGCCTGACAAAACCAACACCGCCGCGGCCGCCTACACCACCGCGTGTGTGTCAAGAGACGACCTTGGGCTGTCTGAGTACTACTGTGAGGTGGGGCGGAGCTGTAGAAGTCAGCGGACGAGGAGCTCCGGTCGACAGGGCGGACCTACGTGAAGAGACGTGGGGGCAGCTGCCCCCACTTGATTTTTTCCATCGGTTATAGGCTATTTTTTAATTAATTTTCATAAGTATTACGCCGGACATATCTTTCCCTATATATATATATATATATAGGGAAAATCCATTCTACCACCCGGTGGTAGTTACCCCACATATCTCATATAATACCATGTGGTAGTATATATACTATTTTATTATTTTAAATATGTTAATATACTATATCTAAGATATTTCAAATCAAGTTACATGAAAAAATTGCATATGAGTCCATAGTTTTGTTATATTTGTGAAATACGTACATAATTGTACATAAAAAAAAGCATATTCAAAACATGGTACATACTATCCAAAAAATAGTATATATACTACCTAATCATTGATATATACTACATACTACACGTACATACTCTTGGTTTCGACAGATATTACATACAACATACAAAACCCAAGTGGTGGTAACTACCACTGCTTGTAGGAAACATTTGTCCTATATATATATATATATATATATATCTTTCCTCTTTCCGTCGTCGCTATCGATTTTGCATAAAAGTCCTTCGGTTTATTCGAATTCAACCCGCAGTCCCTGTTTAAGTGGATCTGGAAAAACGCTTTAATTTTGCACAAAGGACCCTATGTTTTGGTATATTCAAAACGCGGTCCTTTTTACATGGGCGGCGCGACTGGAGCTTGCAGGGGCCGGATCCGCGCACGGCGGGGGCTTGGAGGCGGATCCGGAGGTGGGCGGCGACGCGGGGGGCGAGGAAGGCCGGAGCGCGGCTTCCCGGGCGGATCCATGGCAGAGAAGAGACTGGGTGGTGAGGTTGAGAAGAAGGGAGAAAAGTGGGGCGGTGCGGCGACCCACGCAGGAGCTCGCCGGAGCCGGGTGACGATGGACGGGCGCGGGAGACAGAAGGATCCGGCGCGGCGGCGCGCACTCCTTGTAGTTGGAGGCGGGCCTTCATGGCCGCGGCGCCCCTCCCCCCGCGACAGCTCAGGCAGCGGTCAGATCCGCCCTCCCTCCCTCCCTCACTCCTCGCACTGGAAGACCTAGCCGCTGGGCCATGGTGACCGACGGCGATGATGACGGTGGTGGCTACCTCGACGATGGATAAAATCCGCTCCGCCCCTCCTCTTATCCGTCGACGACCGCTTGAATCCCGAGAGGAGAGGAGAGGAGTGGGAGATCCATGGCGGCGGAAAGATCCGCGCCTGGATCGGACCTGCTCGTCAAGGAGACCCACGCCATGGAGCTGCTCGTCAATGTTCCACCCTGGTGAGTGTCGATGCCATGGTTCTGCCCTTCTTCCCTCCCCTTCCCTGATGCTCTTCTCTCCCTCACGCAGGCACACATCCAACATCGCCATGGACCAGTAGCTCAAGCCGTCTTCTTCCAGATGGTGATGGGGTTCCCTCACCATCTGCAGGTCATCATCCTTAAGGGCTCCACCATCTGCAGGTCTTCCTTCTTCTCTTCTCTCTGTTGGATTCCATTTGATTTTTCTGCTCTATTGGTGAAGCTCCCTCTCTTCTCTGCTGCAGTGTCTA